AACGAGGCGGCAGTTAGCAGCTAGCGGCTAGCTAGTAATGATGCTAATGTACACATCAATCGTTATGTACTTATATTACGCTGTAACAGGATCTAGTGATATCCAACAGAGCTTCATTTAGCATGAAATAATTATTGCACTGTATATATATATATATATATATATTTATATATAGCCTATTTATATACAGTGCAATAAGCTTCTTAGTGCAATACGAGGCTACAGGGACGTTAATAATGTCGGTAATATTAACTTTATTTAATACAACATTTACGGTACACGATTTAATCATACAGCCCATGTAGTATGATAATGAATTACAGCAAACATGTGCAATATATCCATTATTACAGCTCCGTGGGATGGCAGTAAGACGATATGGAACCGTGACCTAAAAACCGAGGTACGTACCGAAACGAAATGTTTGTGAACCGTTGCACCCAGTGTTAACACAATAAAATATACTGCTGTTTTAGGTTTAGTTTACGATGGATATATTTTGTTATTGTTTTGATATTTGTAACACAAAAGCGATGGAAAAAACCCACAGCAACACAGAAAAGATGGTCTTAACATGACCCAGCAGTCTAGTTAATATCAATACAAAATATTACTACTAACTTTATTGTGAAATTAAAACGAACGGTAAAAGAATAATTTCCGGTCTATTCTGAGGCCCAATCTCTGTAGATAAATAAAGAACTACGACAGATGTGTAATATTTAATGCAGCCAAACCATTTATTACAATGCATTCATGTGATGACTTTTAAAGAGTAAAGCAAGCACTGCTGAATAAAGTAAACGATTTTATCTTTTACAAAACGTTTTTTTTTCACATGGAATGCAGTTGGAGGTCAACCAATCACAGAGCTTGAGGACTAATCACGGGGTTTGTCGAGCAAAGTGCATGGTGTAGTCTCAAACGATAGCTGAGGATTATGGGTAGTGTAGTGTCTTCGGCCATCCTAAACTCCGATACAACTGTGTTTCCTTAGTCCAAGGGGAGAAACACAAAACCATTGTACACAATTTAAACCAATCAATGTTGCGTAGTTAACAAGGATAATCTGGTGTTCTTGAGTTGATGAGTAGTGCAGATATCACTGTAAAATCAATCGACAGTAAGGAGAATACTTATTTCCGGGTGTAAAATTATCCGTTATCCAATGGGAATGGACGCTCACATTGCCTTTAACTGCCGCCGACATGGACCGATGTGGTGCTTCCCTGAGCGTCAAATACCGCCGCCGATGGGAATACATTGCAATCAGTTGAAAGCTCTTTGCGTCCGTTTATGAAGTCACAACTGCACGCCAAAGGACCCTGACCAAGTGTCGCTATTGGACTATCAGGGAGTGAGACTGTGTTGGTAGCACCAGTATGAGAAAAATAAAAAGCTTTTTGAAAATGAAAGGATCTAAACATGTGACAGCAGAGGCACAAAATACAAATATGAACCTGAAAATGAGCAAATGTCCTCAAGTCATCAAGGATTTACTGTTTTACCACTTAAACTATTATGTCATACTCAGACTTCAGAACACAGTCAACTGGAAACCACATTGGTACATTTCCATTGAGCTATTGACCATTCCCCCTTGTTTTGTGTGCCATCGCTAGTTAAACACATCATGTAATTACAATATAAACTGAAGTATTCTATAATATAGGTCTTACAATTGATTTTTTAATTCATGTCCCTCTGCAAGACACACTCTAAAAAACAATTCATGGGGTTACTCATTTTAATAAATCTGTCAAACTGAAAAAGAACAAAAAAAACGTACAAATGTAATGATTTTAAAAATATTTCTGCGTTCACTCAACTATAGGAATATATTAAGTTAGAGTAACTCATATCTATTGAGTTTCAATGGTATGGTTTCAAAACTGAACACACGCCTGGACTTGCTCGGACTTTGCTGACCGCATGTTGAGTTGGAGCAATCAGAACTCTAGATAGCAAAGCAGAACTCTAGATAGCAGTGGAACAACAGGATTTTAACCTAATAATCTATCAAGTTACCTGGTAAGTAGCCATTTTTGTTCAGCTGCATTTACAACAGCTGCTTACTGCATAGACAGTGTAACACAAGCTGTAAGGTAGTCACTAGCTACTTGTTTTAAGCTACTGTAGCATGCATAGCATACTGATTAGCTAGCTGTTTGTATCCTCCTGTATCCTCCTTTGTTTCACAGTTACAGTCCAAGTTCATTATTTGTAATACAGTATGTATATATTTATATATATTTTTTTTCTTGTTAGAATTAATGTTACATTTGATAAAAACTGATTTAAAATAAATATGAAACAACTGACAATGCCCGGCATGTTCAGTTTTTGCAAACAAGCCTTTGTTTTTCTTTCTCAACATTAAAATATTCTCCTTTTAAGAATGATTCGGTGGAAAGAATAAAAGAGGTTGCTATCCGTTGCTCGGTGGTGTGTCTTCGTGAAAAGGAGGATGTCTTCAAGGAAAACTTAAAGTGGACCTATCATGCTATATTTGAATAATATATTGTAGGGCCATACCTATATAAAACATGTCTGAAGTTTTTTTTCAAAATACCAAACAGATCATGCATTTTAGCCATGCCTCATTTCGCTCTATTTGATGTATTCCAGCCCTGTTTTTGCAAGGGCTGATTCTGTGACAAATGAGCTGCAGCTGACCACGCCCCCCTGCAAAGGAGGGGGGCGAGGCACGAGCGTCATGTTACCATGCTGTTACCATGCTGTTACCATGCTGTTACCATGCCACGGCAACCCCCCATTCCCCTGATAGGTGGAGAGTTGCCCATATAGGCGGAGCTCCTTGTTTCTGACGTCAGAGATATTTCAAATCTGTATCAGTCTGTATCAGCTCCGTTTTTAGAGATTTGGGTATGGAGGAAAAGAGAGAGGGTTGTGTTTTCTGACACTTGGTGAGTTCCCTGACACACCGGGGACACATATTCATGTATAAAAGACGTACAAAAGTGCATTTTGCATGATAGGTCCCCTTTAAGTAAGTAAAGACGATACTTAAATCATACTGTAACTTGTGTTAACCTGAAACGCAATGCAATGTTTTCAAATCTGATTGCACCAAAAACACTGACATTTATTTTCTAATCTACTTATTCCAGGATGGTGAAGTATAAGTTAGCAATGATGTGCTGAAGACTGTCTTGACTAGGGGTGCGGATGCAAGAATAGTGATTGAAGGAACAGAAGTCCTTCAAATCTCGGATGCGACAAGAGCCATGCTGATGGGGCTAATATACACACTTAACCTAAACTACTTAAAAGAGATGTTAAAAACGTTGAAGCAGGTTCATGCCTTTATTTTAATTTTTGTATTTCATGTTTGAGAACATTTGTTATAAAAAGGTCATTGTGTAAAGAACATTTTTAAATAAACTGTTCAAAAGTGGAACTTAAATGTGTATTTTATTTTTGACTCAAATGAATTAGTTTATAATACTCAAACCAATTAAGGTAACAATTTGCATGGATATTTTTGAGTAGTACGAACTTAAATAAATAAACTACAATAGCTTAAATTAAACAAAATGCAACTTAATATCACTCCATCTTTACAATTAAAATTAAGTTGGTTCAACTTATTTAGATTTTAAAGGTGAAAGCAATTATGTTTGTAGTACTGAACTAATTGAGTCAATCAGATTATAAATGGGTACTCAGATTAACTTAATGTTAAGAACTCAGGCACTTAGGAGGTAGGACCCAATTGCACAACCCGGGAGACAGAGGTAAAGTATTGGTAAGATACTTTATTTTTCCAAGATATAGCAAAAATGAACTACAACAAATGGTCACTATCAAATCTCTAGCTGAGATGACAAAAATGAGAACAAAAGGAAAAACGCTCACGTAGTGAGGATCAAACTTATCAAGAACACAAAAGAGCATAGACCTGACTGTGGCAAGAGACAAGAGCAAAGCACTGACCATGACCATAGACAAAAACGAACTGACACTGAACACTGGGAGACAGGGGAATTTAAACACAGGGTAACAAGACACAGGTGGGAACAATCAGGGGCGGGGCTGACACTGATGAGCACAGGAGACACACAAGGAGTGACAGGTGAAAACAATCAGGAAATTAGACACACCAGGGAAACTAATGACAGACAGGAAAACACAGGGAAAAAGACCAGACAATACACAGGGAGGAAAACATGACAAGGAGAACAGCAAAACACCCACTACCAGACACACAAAACTAAAACCGTGACACAAACACAAGAATCGTGACAAATAATCGATCAAATTGGAAATACTTAAAAAGATCAACGCACATTTGTACCTCAATTTATTTAAGTATAGCCGGTTTGTTATTTTTCTTTAGAGTGCAAGACACTGCTGCTGTTAAATAATTTCCAATTTGGGATTGATAAAGTGTCTGTCTATTTATTTATAGATTACAGTGGCGAGCCGTGACTTTTCTACCTAGGCCCTCTGACCCCACCCCCCTCTTCCCTCGAAAAAAAAAAGAAAAAGTGTTTACGTCACAGCCTATAGTATACTTCAGCGGAATATCAAAACAGCGGCCCGGGGTGCAAAACGCATCAATGACAGCGACCCTCTACCACACAAAACAACACCATTTATATAAACACCTATCATGACAGGGCACCCACAGCCAAGTAACAATTACAAATGAATTAAGTCGGCACGGCGGCCCACATTGAAAATCACTTTGACTTACCTTTGATGATCAAATCACCTAAACACAAAGTCCATCCTCCTGTCTTTTTGGATGAAGAACTTGATGGCGTCGTCATGCAGGTGATCCTTTGCTTTTAAAGCAATCAGCAATTCCTTCTCGATCGAAATTAAGGCCAAGTCTGACAGTCGGACTTGCCCAGTCGTGGACCTCGAGTAGCTTTTTATGCGCTTCAGCGCAGAGAAGGACCTCTCCACAGAGGCAGTGGACACAGGTATTGTCAGGATGATGGATGAGAGGGTGTACAACCTGTTTCATGCTTTCACTCAGTCCTTTTTTTGAGGAGAAACTGATGAATGTCGGCTGGGCTTTTCCCCAAAATGTCAGACATGCCGTACATCACGGCGAGTTCCGTGTGCAGTCGAGGCTGGTCGAAATATCCGCCATAGCTCTCCATCAAACTGTTCAAGGCAGCAGTTGGGAAATAGTTACAGTAATGCCCGAACTGTTGCGGGTCCAGAAGGGCCAGGAATTCCAGCTTTTTGTGGTCACTGAAGCGGTTGGAAATCTGGGTTAGCAGGCTGTCAATTACGCTGCAGTGGAGCTCCCTGTACCGTGCACGAACGTCTCCTTGAGCTCCACGGCCGCGCGGAGGACCAACCAAAGCCTGGGTTTCATCGTAGACGATGTCAAAGTTCCCCTTCTCCTGTTCAATTTGTCGCTGTAGCTGATCCACTCTGGCCAGGCAGAACTGCATATCAAAACCTTTGTTCTGAAGTATTTCAAAAACAACATCCGAGTAGGAGAAGATAGCGTGGAAGGTTTTCAACCAAAAGCTGAAATCGAAGCTGGTAAGGAGGGTGATGTATCCATCAGAGCAATGAACAGTTTCGTCATCAAACTCTGTGTGATGGTCTACGATGTGCTCGAACACCTACGAGAGTAATGCTTAGTTTAGAAAAAACAACTTATAGACCTCCAGTAAACACTAAGATTAGCTTTCCATTTAATGTTATACTAGCATAGTTCTTTACCTTCATGTTTTTATGAGTGGGTAGTTTCCAACACTAAATCATTTCTTTATTATTGTTAATATTTCCATTACGTTCATTGTTATTATTATCTTACCTCTCTCAATTCCCTGGTCTTATCTGCCACTGTGCACACCAAGCAAGAATGAAAGCACCAGCGAGTAGGAGCTGCCCGTGGAAGCCTATGCTGGCAAATATCATCCAGTAGCTTGGTGCGCTTTGCTGAGCGGCTGAAAAAGGTGGCCAAGCCAGAGAGGTGGGAGAAGAAGACCTTACACTCTCTTATCTTGGAAGCTCCATTTGACAAAACGAGATTTAAGATGTGAGCATAGCAGTGAATGAAAAGGGCCTGTGGAATTGTTTCCTTAACTTTCGCTTGCACCCCATTCAATCCAGAGGCCATAACAGCTGCTCCATCGTAGCACTGCGCGACCACTTTGTCAATACAGCCACTCTCCCTCAGGAACTCCAGCAGCCGTGTAGCTATGGCCTCTGCTCGTTTGTCCTCTGTCACATCTTCGTACTTGAAGAAACGCTCTTTTATCCCATCGTCAGTGACATATCGAAGCACATATGACATCTGCGCCACGTTGCTAATGTCTGTCGTTTCATCCAACATGACCGCAACAAAAGGTGCCTTCCTCAGCTCCTCTTTCATGCTATCCGTCATTACACTAGCGACAGCGCTGATCAGGTCATTCTGAATCCTTGAAGATGTGCCGGTAAATACTGTTGATGTGGCGAGGTGTGTGTGCAGGTCGCTGTCATATTCTGCCACTAATCCAGCAACTCTATGTAATTCCCCTTGTTTGATGAAGTTACACTCTCATCGTGACCTCGGAACGGCAACTCCTGCTTGCCCAAGTACACCACACAATTTATCAGGCGTTTCAAAATTCCTCGGTTCCTCTTCACCTTTTCATTATGAAGGATGACACCCCGGCGTTGTTGCTCATCCAGCTGGAGCTCTATCCTGGTGTCCCCAAATGTTTTAAGCCGAATAGTAGCTCTGAGGTGACCTGAAGCATTCTGATGGCGATGTGCTAATTTGGATAAACTTCCTAAATCAGAATATCCATCTCTGGCCCATGACCCACTGTCCGCTCCAAAAAGCAAGCAATCCCAGCAGTACAGCTTGTGTTCCCTGGTTGATCCGGTCATCCAGTTGTATCTGGCGTAATTTCCGATATTAAAATGCCTCTCGAACCGTTTGGTTTTTTGAACCAAATTAAGCTGTGGTGTTGGTCGCCCTTTGGTAATTAACTCCAATTTATCCGTGTAACTCATTCTTGAAAAAGACTCGTTTAGTAGTTTCGCAACGATGTCATCACTATCACTAACGTGAGCCATCGTGAATGAACGTATGCTAATTCCGCCTAGCTTGACCCGTTGATATATCCAGTGCTTGAATTGGAATGAAAAAGGTGCCAGTACTCTAAAATCAGCAACTTTTTCAAGTCAATTTTATATATACAGCCCACAAACAAGAATTTGGCTACTATAATGCTGGTGGGTTTGTCTCTTTACTACTGTATATTTTAGAAAGGTTCACTGTACTTAACATTTTTTATGATAGGCAGCGGATATGGCTAAAGCTCAGTAAGGTCAATATTAACTGAAAATATAGCAATCAAAGTCTAGATCTTCTGCTGAAGACACATGAAGCTGAGACCTTTCAGGTGAGAGCCCCTCTGGTGGTGTTCAACATTAATGACAAGGAAACAAAGCTCTGGTCAGAAGCATTTTTTATAAAAAGCTTTAACAAAATTAAGTATTTCTGTACATTTTGAATGCAATCTAACTTTCCAACTCAGAAAACGAAAAACGAAAAAGTGCCAAAAGTCTTCTCACATGGCTGAGCTGCTTTGCAATATACTTCACCACTGAAGAATACAAATATGTATAAAGTAAACTATGATGCAATCTAACTTTCCAACTCAGAAAAATGATAAAGAGCATGAACAAAGAACATGTAAAAACAAATGCAAAATTTGCACAATCTAAAATGAGAAACTGTAACTGCAAGTAATAAAGTCTGAGCCATGGTAAAGAGTTACATTGAACACCAAGCTGATCAGATAACTCCCTGGTTGGTCTGAAGTCCTTCTATCTCCAGGATCTGTACAAATCGGCACATTATGCCAAAAGTCTTCTCACTGGGTGAGCTGCTTTGCAATATACTTCACATTGTTAGAAAAGGCTCCAGAAGGCCTTGGGGGACATCAGTATCAGGGGCTGGAGCTGGACAGGCTCTTTCATCAGCACTTCTCCTTCCCTTTGCCAGCCAGGACCTCACATACTGTTCCGGATTGAACTGTCCTAGTGATGGTCCATTACATTTAATGAAAACCAGGCTGGACAGTCGGCTGACAGAGAGAGCATTCCTTTTTGCAGTAAGGATATCGTTCATGCAGCTGAATGCCCGCTCACACTCACTAGTGGAGACAGCGATGGTTCGGACTGCTTTCAGTAGAGGCTCCATGGCAGCAGGTGTACGGGATGCCCTGGTTTCCTTGTATTCGCGAAAGCCCTGAACAGTCTCTCTTCTGTCCACTTTCAGCACTTCGCACAAACGTAGCACCTCTACGTCCCCATACTGTACGTCTAACTCCTCTTCAGGCCAACTTCCAGGATGGATAACTTTCATGTCCTGGATTAGCTGATTGTCCCGGGCCTCCCGGCCATGTAATGGGATTTCTCTTGTGCTGACATGAGAGGAGGTTGTGGAAGTCATTCTGTGTCTCAGATTTTTTACCATACTGCGGAAAAACTGACCTGCATGAATCTGTACAAGCCTGCCATTCTCACGCAGGGCAACACCCTTGAAGGACTTCTCAGCTAGAGCTGTATGAACTGTAGTCATGTGTGGGCCAGGCATGGTGACCATGGATTCAAAAACTCGTATTTCTCGAGTTAAGAGCCTATCTGCTGTAGGCAGTGTCATCTCTCTTTTTTGGAATTGCCGAGAGAGGTCGCTGAACTCTGTGAGCGCATCGTACATCAGTCCCAGATTGCTGACAAACGTTGCAGATGTGAGCACATCATCCAGGCCCTTGTACTTTGCTCTGTCTCTGGAATCCCTGCTCGTGTCGTTTGCAGCATTTGTGAAGTGATCATGAAGCACTCGGTAGTTTTCCCAGACTGCTCTGACGCTCCTTTCACTTGAAGCCACCCAGCGGATGGACAAAACACGCCCTATCACCAGGAGACGCTGTCCGACTGCTTGCGCACACTGCGCTAACTGCCTCTGATTTTTGGGGGAGGCATGGAACAAGGAATAGAGTTTGTCAAAAAAGATCTGGAAATGATTGAGCCCTGAGACCTCCTTGACCACATCCCCAACTGCCAGCTCTAGACGATGATTGGAGCAGTGCCACACAAACAGGCTTCGGAATTTACTACACAACTGGGTAGCAACGCCTGTTCTCTTCCCTAGCATGACTGAAGCCCCATCACATGCAAAAGAAACGAAACACTGACCTAAAAAGTCCTCGTTAAAATCTCTTCCAAGACACTCCATTAACGCCTTTGTGATGTCCTCAGCCGTTGTTCCATCCAACTCGATCAGCTCCCAAAAAAACGTTTCGGGCTCAGCATCAGCTAATGCTGAGCGTAGACACACAACAAGCACCGTTTTACCACTAATAGTGGTAGATTCATCGACCAAAACACAGAGTTTTCTTTGGTTTTCTGTAATGTCTTTTGTCATTTTTTTCTTCAGCTCATGAGCTATGTGGTCGATGATTTCGCCACAGGTTTTATTGGAGTGCAAAACCCTGCCCACGTTCAGCCCATTCAGTTTCTGTACATTCAAATCAATTGGCATGTCTGTGAATGGCCGGCTATGTTTGCCAATTTTATATGCCGTTCGAAAAACTCTGATAGTGGTGTCTAATTCAGATTTATGCATAGACTGCACTTGATGTTGAATAGTTTCACGTGAAGCAGATGTAAGGATGTCAGCAGCTTTTACATGGGCTTGTGATTCTTTATGTTCTTTGATTTTTTTTCTCAGGCTAGCTTGTTGTTTGCCCTTGTCAACACCGAAATGAGACACTGCACACTCACCCCATTCAGTTGACAGTTTCAGTCCTTGTCCAGTGTGTATTCCCAAAGATTTGACATCTCTGCATATCCGACATCCTAGCTTCTTATCTTTAAGAAGGAGCCATGCATTGGTCTTGCAAAAATATTGCACCTGGTCCGTTGTCCAGCAGTCAGGTGCATCGCTTTGCCCGGTGTTGGTGGTGGCAGTTGCGCCAGCAGCAGCTAACGTTAGAGGCTCTGGAGGAGGCGGCGGAGCTAGTGCTAATGCTAATGCACTAGAACTTGGAGCAGGAGGATCAACCAAAGAAAGCTCCCCATCAGACACAATTTCCAACACAGGCACAGCATTCTCTGTATTTGAAGTTTCTTCCGGCGACAACCGCTGTCTTTTTGCACTTTTATTAATCCACGCTAACATTTTAGAAATGCTAATTTGTGACGTGACTTGCTTTCCTTCTCTCGGGGGCGTGCCTGCTCTGTTCTATCACTCTACATAGCCACCCACTGGGTGGGAGTTGCACTGCATAAACACAACACACGTGCATCTAGGTATGTAAATTGTAAAGCATTAAAACATGGTTTTACTAACAGTTTTCAGTATGTTGTTACTTCGGCATTATTATTATTATTATTATTTTGAAACGTGTATTACTATTAAATCACGGTCAAATAGGTTAATTTTGACATAGTCGTTTCCACCACAGTATTTACATGGAGAAGATAAGCCCCGCCCCCTCTCCAGCACGTTCTGTTTGAATGACAGGAGTAAACAGCTGACAGCCGCTGTGAAACTCCAGCGGTTAGAGCGATGAGAATGTCCGTTCGGCACCTCATGACGCATCTACTGAGTACCGGGCGGCTGTATATATATATATATGGGTGTATAAGAACGGCGGGAGAGTGTTGAGTACTGGCACGGTGCATGAGTACCGGAGTACCGCCAGCATGCCGGTACTGAGCAAGAAGTGCCGGTACTCCATGGGTCAGAACCAGAAGTGCCGGTACTGCGTACCGGTGAGTACCGGCCCAATTCCAGCACTGGATATATCACATGCATAAACTTGGCAGCGCAGCGGGCGGAACTTGTCATAAAGTCCGCGATAATAAAGCCCTCCCATTTAGAGGGAAGATATGATTGGTCAATTGTACTGTCACTTGACATTACTCTCTCGTTGTTTTACTATAGCGGGCCCTCTGTGAATCGCATAGAGGGCCAGACGAGCTTTTTTCATGTAACCCTTCACATTCAAACAGAAACTGAACAGGCAGATTCGAAGGATTTATTTCTTTGGAAATTTTATTTTAAATACAATTAAATCAAGTTTTTTCGGTAAAAATATAACAAAAATAATATTTAAAAAATATATATTAAAAAAAAATAATATATTTTTTAAATGTTTTTAAATATTATTTTTTAGAATATCTTAGGCCCTCAGAGAGGGCTTAGAGGGCCCTGACGGCTCGCCACTGATAGATTAAAAAAAAACATCTATGTATTTTCAAGCTAAAGGTGATACACAATATACACTGTATACTATTCTTTTTTCAAAGACATGTTACATTTCAAAAGCATATATTGCTATGTTTAGGACAAACAATTAAAGACTGCTTTAATTTTTAACAAATTGTGCAATATAAAAGTGGCAGATTTGCTTTATTAAACATAGCAGACCTAGGCTGCATACCAACACAATTAGGAACATGCTCACATCTTACTATGTT